CGCTGCACCACCATCTGACACATGAGCTGGTATGCCAACAACTTGCCACGTTTGTACTTGTTGGACAGGGTCAGACACTAGATAAACAAAAAAGTATATATCACTATATAATTACAGTTCTTTGGAGCTTAAAATTCAAGACTAAAAAACTGGTCTCAGGAAAACTGATTTACCTCAAACAGCCAGGGTGCATACAGATGTATAGGTGGGAGAAGTTCTGGTGGAGATGGGGAGTTCATATTGTCCACTGTTACTCCAAGGTTATCCCGCATCTGAAAGACAATCCTTGCAAAAATGCACTTTTGGAATGGCTTTCATCATCAAGTAAGGGACCAAAGATTTAAGATACCGTAAAAACCCACGTAATGTCCGCATCTGTGTAATGTCCGCACCCCTTTTTTGACACAAAAATCTGGGGAAAAAACCCACCTTCCATGTAATGTCCGCGGGTAAAAAATGCAAATTGAAGCTGCCGATTTCATTTCACGTACGCTAATGTCGTAATGGCCGAGAGCATGTCGCATTGTGTATAACTTACAGGTACCATTCAAGAATTCACTTAATTGTTTATAACAACAGTTATTCTCCATAATGGTACAGTAAGCTTACCAGTATGACAAGTCCTCATTTCTAAGGGTTAGCCCAGCAGTGTTATAAACAGCTTGGGTCGTCTCCTCACCTCGAAATGACAGCGTGTGATTAGCCAATTATTACAGTAACATGACCCGCCCATGACCCACGGCGCCACTGACCCTTGACACACCATCAGACGACGAGAACGCCATTTATTACAACGACCAGACAGAGGAAGACAACTTCAACGCCGAGGAGTTCTTCCACAGTGACGACGACGACTTCTGGGGTTTCGAGAAACGCTATTAAACCGGCCTGCTATGTATTAAGACTTTCTGATAAACAATCCATAATCAATAAAACGTCTGATTATTTATTTTATGTAATATTCTTGTACATGTTATTTATTGTTATTTTGTATATGCTCATGGGTATGCTTTTTCAATGGGGAAAGGGGAATAACTCTAACTTTATTCATGTGACAAAGTCAAACAAAATGGCTTCCTATTACGAAGGACGACACAATACGAACCTGTAACGAGAAATTGGAAGGAATTAACCATGGAAACTATAATAAATAATCATAAATAATCATGTTTGGTTGAGGAAACATCATAGAAAAAACCATAGAACGATAATATCAGGTATGCTTGGCTTTTAAGAACACAATTCAAGGAGATATGATATGAATTGTCGGAAGGAAAAAAGTGTCATTTCCTCTATATCTCTGTAATGTCCGCACCCCCTTTTTTGGATTGATTTTCGGTGAAAAAAAGTGCGGACATTACATGGGTTTTTACGGTATGTAAAATTCATCATTAAAAATGATAAATATCCAGATAATGGTAGTGAAATACATTCAAAAGACAAAAAACAGTATCACTTTTTGCATCATCTTTAAAAATGTCCATTAAGCATCAGCATGGCTGATTATATTGTCATACACATTGTCTTTGATTAGGCATCCTGAGTTTCCAGATGTTGAAGATATGAACAACTTTATAAAACAGAAGCTACAAAGCATCAGCTTCCCAGTATTGATATTTCCTCCTGAAGGCAAACTCTGTACCTTATATAGAGTTTCCAGTAAGAAGCTGAGCTCCTCATAGACAATGGCATGGTTTTCACCATCCTCTATCTGGTTTATGTTGCCCAGGGATCCCAGCATCCTCCTCCACATGACAACAGCCACATCTGGCGTCCACCCAATCACAGCCCCACCTGCCAGTACACTCTTCATATCCTCCATTGACTCTACACATACCAGACATGACAAAAAAGACATACTATTATTCATTCACTTAAGTGTACATTTGTAATAATGATAATTTATGTCTATCTAACTTAAGATAATGATTTACAACAAAAAAAAAAATCCCCCAAAAATATTCAAAGGTTAAAATGTTAGCAGATAGATTCCCTGAATTTACAATCAATGTTTTAATGACTTTAGGACAATGAGAATGAGATAAAGAATTTGTACCAGTATCAAATCAACTTGATCTACTCCTAGGACTACAAAATATGATGTGTTAGTATACATATGTATATAAGTTTAAATATAAATCTCTTTTCTTTAAAATTGAAGTAAAATGATGTATATTACTTCAACATTAATTTAATCTATTTCAAAGAGACAGTGATACACACTAGCCAACAAAACTTCTTATGAATCTGACTTTGGAATGCCAAAAAAGTTTTTTAAATGGCATCAACAAATAACTCCATCTAGGATGAGGTAACCTTCACTTTCACATCGACTTTGATTAGTACCACGCACCACTTTCAGAAAAGGTTTTGCATGGAAACCAATAAGCCACTCTGAAAATTACAGTTCAATCCCGCAATTATCCAGTAATAAGCCCATTCCAGCTGGCAATGAAGCTCATTCATATATTGTAGTTCAGTAAAACTACAGACCAATGCTTTTTGAATATTTTGTAAAAAGTCCATTCCACTGGGTAAGATGTAACATGTTGGAACCCTCGGTTTTAAGGTTGATAAATCTGGTATATTATTATATATGTAAAAGATTTAACATTGAAGCTACAGATTAAAGGATAGACATACTGACAATTGTAAGTCAATATTACAAATTCTGTTGCATTCTTCTCGATGAAGTCAGGGTTGGATATGTCGCTACTTTAGCAATAGAGATTTCCTCGAAGGCCACTACAAGTTGTGAGTGGGGCAATCCTTACTTTTGACCGTAGGTATTTCCTTGGAGGATGCTATTTCTATGTGGAGACTGCTGCTGTCGTGAGTGGGGCAATCCTTACCTTTGCCTATAGGGATTTCCTCGGTGGCCACTATTTCTATGTGGAGACTGTCGCGGTCAGGGGTGGGGCAGTCTTTGTGATTGTTGACCCCTTCCACAGTAAGCTCACTACAGGGGGAGGGTGATCGTGACTTGGAGTGAAGAGACAATGGAGATGGTGTTCGAGAAACTGAAACAAACATCAGAAGAAATCAAAGGTCTATGTACATTTCACAAACACCTGTTTATCTATATAATATAATATTTATCCCATATACATATGTACTTACATCTGAATGCTGTGTCATCAGATCTATCCAGACTTGCACTTTCTACATTATATTCCATGTCATGGGCACTGGGCAGACTAGAGGCTAAAGTGATCTCTGCAACCTCCTGATCCTCTGGTGTGGCAGCCCCTGGAATAGTGTAAATATGGTTCAACTAATTAAGACATAAAAATTTTACTTTGAATAAAAAGTAAAAAAAAAAAAAAAAAAACTATAAATATACTACATATTACCTGTACAATATTCTAAGAACGTTCACTAGTGAGAATCATGGTTCATACAATATCAAATGATACTACAATATGTAGATGAATTGCAGTTAGGATGATCATTATTTCCTTTCAATCACATTCATGCTGGAGCAAATGTTAACATAAAAACAAGCTAGCAGTTCTGTTAACATATTAGACAACATCAGTCAACTTAATCTCATTTATTCATTAAAAGTTACTTGTAAAATAAACATGGGGAGAAAAAAAAGACCAAAACTCTTTTTACTAAATAAAACCGCCATGCTGAACAATCAACATTAAAACATTTTACATACAAGTTAGTATACAACATACATAGCATACAATGAAATATAAAATCATGGTTAATAAGTTCCCAACACAAAATGCAATGCGTATGTAGTTTTATATAAATCAGTTTCAGCTATATTTTGGGAGAGGAAGAACAGGTTCTGCTTATGATACACAGTAATTTTACTGAACATTAGTGAGATAAAATGGAAGTGATATTCTGGTATGTTGGTTTGCTAGGTTTATCATAAAATAGCATTCTTAGATAATTTCTTGTTGTATCTGGTGGCTAACCCACTGAAATACATATGGGAGGCCCACCACCACGCATTCTGAGCAATCAAAGTGACTTTCTAAGGGCACAACCACATCAGCACAGACCAGTTTGTTTCTTAGTTTCCTCAGAATCACAAACTACCACAAACATAGAAAATGTGGAATAGGCAATAAATATGTTAAATGGGTCACTGAACCTTACTATCTTCTATCGTCTTAAGACACATAAGTGTGAGTCAGGTAAAACAAAACTATACTGCATACAAAGCATTGTCAATATCAAGTATTTCAAGAAATCCAGAAAAAAAATATTTTTCTCTTTTTTCTTTTGTTGTTTTCTCCTGATAAAAATTGTAATCCTGGTAATCAGTGCCTGTTCACACTCATGGTTAATAAACAATGACTACAGAGAATAAAGCATAAAGTGTATTCATTCATAAGTTTCTGTATTTAATGAAGTTCACCTTCTCAAAATTTATTCATATTTTGAACATATAAGCAAATACAAATGTGACTAATCTTTACCATGATAATGATACCCATGCCACAGAAGGCAGTTGGTGAAGACATACCCATGCCACAGAGGGCAGTTGGTGAAAACTTCAAAACAAGTACATATCTAAACAGTTCAGCATAAAGTTATATATTAGAATAACAGTCAACTTTTAAAGTGACAGGTACCTGATGGCAATTTTTTCAATTTCCTTATTATTTTTCGCCACATGTTGAATCATTAAAAACTTGTATTAAGGCTCCACATTCTCTCAAGGATATGTTTGTCAAAATGAATCAGTGCACTCTGATAGACAATGGTTTCTTCTGACTGTAGACAGGTTACCACTTTACATAACTTCCAGAGGGAGTACATATGTAACTTTTAATACTGCATTTATTGCCTGAACTCATGCAGATAAACATGGAATCTGATCCTGGACTATTTGTCTGTGAGAAATGAATCTATCCGGCTTTACACAATGGTAAACAATAAACTATATCCTCATTTAGTAAACATGTCCATATACAAAGACAAAAATATCCATCAAAGGCTTTTAAAGGTGACATTGTTCACTCGACCATGAAACGTCTTGTTTTACAACAAGCTACTGTGATGGTGAGTCTAGATTTTGATCAAGGACATTGAGACAGACTCAACTTCCTGTCAACTTCTTTGGACAGGAAGCAATATTGTAACACTCAAGAGCAGGCTTTTCCTTTCCACGGTGTGTAATATTTCCTATTTCTTACATGTGTTTCACATTTGTCTGTGATAAGAAATTCCAGTCTCCAGAGTCACTTTAACACTTTCAAATATGAGTCCTAATGGGCCTGAATCACTACCTTCTGTGACAATTTGAAACAAGTTTTTTTTTTACAAAGCTGAAAATCCTTTTCACAAGCATGTTATTAAACAAATACCATATCACAAAGACTACTGTTTATTCAAAAGAAATTTGAAGCTATCAATTTATTTGATCCCTATGACCTTGAAAGTGGGTCAAGGTCAGTCATTTGAACAAACTTTTAGCCCTTCATTTCTTCATGCTGCCATCCTCAATACTCTAGAGGTTACACTCACTGTTGTTCTCTGTGACCCTAAACATTTCATGACAAAATTGAAGGTTCCATTTGTGACACCTTATGCATAAGACAGGGAATTCTAGTTTGATCCTTTGATGCACAACAAATGAATCTCAATGAAAGTCACATAAGGTATGATGTGCTGGTGTTGAAATTGGGTGTCACTCCTTTGTAATTCTCAAAGGATCATATCAGTCTGTGACTGGTCAGATTTTTTCTTATGAAATCTGCTCTAGACCAATCAAATTATTTCACTTATGCCTTTAATTTTGCCATGAAATGTTCAAGGGGTACAAAAGGCACATGTGAGCATAACCCCTGGAGTGTGGATGGCATGCTGCAGCTCCAATCAGTACCCTTGACCTATTATTTATTGACAAGAAATTGTTTAAAGACTTAAACACATTTGACCCCTGCGACTTTCAAAGTAGGTTGAGGTAGTTCATTTGAACAGACCTTACAGCCCTTCATTCCAACCTCATATTCTCAATTCCAATACCCTTGATTTTTGGGGTTTTGAACAGAGGTTTTTCAAGACATTTGAACCATGTGACATTGAACAAACTTGGATAGCCCTTCATCCACGCATTCCACAGGAAGTACTGTACCATTTTACTGTAATATTCTTATCCCCTAAATTTCAGGTATATGCAATGTTTAAGAAACCCCCACTCACCCCCAGCTTATTGCAGAATAAATAGGAAATGTACATGGTATTTTTCAAAACACAACAAACATTGGAAAGAAAACAGTGTTAAAAAACAATGGCACACTACTTCAACACTTGATTATCTGGGGAAAACGTTAGTCATGCAGTTCTAGCTTTCTGTTGACGGGACACACAACAAACAAAATATACGTACTAGTAGTAAAGAAGGAATTAGCGTCTACGATGTTGAAGCTTACTGCCGCTATAAAGCAAACCATAGTAATGAAAGGGGAACATAAAGATATATATAAAAGATGTATAAGTTGCCAAAAACAGTTAGCCAGCCCAGAATGAAGAGTAGCTAGTGCAGACTGGACACCGGTACATACCTACGCTATCAGATATCTTATAGGCAGATACTGATATGGTTATGTTACATGCTGGGTAGCCATCCAGCCCTTTCTTGTTAGCAACACTATCTATATCAAAACCTGTTATGTAAAACAAAACTCAAATTAGAGCATGAGCACAATCACTTGTTTTACCATGATGCTTGCCAATCGGGCTGATTTTAATCATCATCTACTCAAGTATGCACTGCACTGATCAGATAGTAGAATGTGTCATCACACGTTTAATTCTGAACCTTTTGGGAAATGACATCAATTTTGGTTATAATTTGATTGAATCTATTTTGTGTGTGACTGCCAGAGTTGTTCTGGATATATATGTACTCCAATTCTTGACATCAGATTAATTAAGGTAGCAACATAAAAAAATCTTATCCTGGATATGACATGTTGTTCACATTTAAATGTAGCAAGAACACTTTTCTGATACCAAAGTATGTTTGCTTTATCGAGATTCTTAAGAACATTGGCAAAATATTTAGCTCTGAAAATCATCAAAGCTGGCTTTATTAAATGCTTGCCAAAGGGATCTTTTTTGACTGTGATAAAGATATGGGACACACACACAGAATAATTTATTTCTAAATACCTCTAAATCTCTAAATCAAGATGCTTGCTGATTTCAGATTTCTACACACTGGATTTATTGACAACATTCTAGTACAATACTCAAAGGCATAGGAACCATTTTACCACTCTACATCTAAATGCTAAAGAAAAATATTTCCTTACATGAAATATTTCTATAAAATATTTTTTATGTCCACATACTTTTTTTTAACAGTCAAAATGTTTCACAATAGACCTTATCATATGGGATCATATCCTTCAGTACAACTCATCACATTAAAACAAAACACCTAAATAAGAGACTGCTTTTGAACAACATCAAACTAACAAGAAAAGAAGTTGGAATTGTGCCTTCAGTTTGATTTAATATTACCCGGTACTTAAATCACATCATTTTTTTTTTATTGTTAACTGTATCAAATCAATATTAGTGTTAAAATATTGTGTGTTCTGAAATAAACATTAAATCACACACTGAGCTGAATATCTTTGCTTTGTTTTTAATTTTCTTCCATTAAGCTGTTTCTTAATATATATACTCAGAACTCAAATACATTTCATTCCTAATGCCAACAACAGAATCAGAGATATGCATACACGATATGTACACATAAGCTAAGCCATCACTTAGAATACAACATACCAACATATACTACTATCCTCATTGGTTAACCAAATTTCAAAATCATCACTGAAATCTGACACTTGGTTTGAATATCCTACCATGTAGTTGAGATTGACCTCCATAGAAGACAACATGACACCAAAATCAATCAATGTTTTAAAATATTTCAGTGGAGTGTCTTCTCTCAATTTCGTTCAAAAGTGTCTTAATTATTTTTAACAAATTAAAGTTCGTAATTTATTCGTGTAATATTTGCAAAATGTCATCCCTTGAGTTACAGATGATTATGAAATTGGGCTTTAGTTGATATTTCACAACAACAGTAAATCAACTTAAATACTAAGCTACCAAAACAAGGCAGGTTATTATGGTTTGGAAGTTCATTAGCAAGCAACTCAAACAGATACAGCATCACATTTCTCTCCCTTAATGCTGAAATCTTAAAATCTGAAATCAACCCCTTTCACCTCTAGCAAGGATGATTGAAAATTCACGACAGTAGGCACCATAAACATACAGAAGATCTTAAACATTCAAAGATGATCTTAAGGAAATAGCAAGATTAACTCGAAGAAGGTGATATGTTTGCCTAAAAGCAAAAGAGAAATTCATGATTTCATGATTAATAGAAAGGATGAACATGAAATAAAGATGAAAATATATTTTATTATTACAATTTTCAACTGAACTGATATTCAGCATCATTTAGTAATTCTGATCAATCTCAAAACAGAAAGTGAAGTTCTGACCACATAATTCAGTAGATTAAAGCTCCTTTACACTGCCAGTATACAAGAAGTCACTCTGAGTTAGTATACACATTAACATTTTCTATGATTACGATACTTTTAAAATTTGATTCCTGCCATCAGTGTTAGAAGGATTTAGGTTTTGTGTTATATTTCATAAATCTCCATCACAAAAGTATGGTGCATCAGCATTATATCAGGATATGATATCAGTAATCACAGAATCATAAAAGAAAGTTTAGTGAATTATTATTAATTACAGAAGTTTAATACAAATTTTATCAAAACAAATATCATGTCCTCCCATTAATAAATTACATGATTCTATCTTCCTTAATATCTTGATTTCTATCTATCCCCTCCCCTCTTACCTTTGAGTCGCTCCACAAGTTCACTGGCTTCAGCAAGGTTGCCATCACTACTGCTACGTGTATAAAGCACTGTATCAGATGCGTTAGAGGGAGTACGGGAATGAGAGGGTGATGGTTCTCCACTCAATGACCGCTGTTTGCTCAGATCAGGGCGTGCACGTCCTCCACCTGCTCCTAAAGTATCAATTATACTCTGTTATAACAACTTTTTATTCTCTTGAGTGGCAGATGGTTCGATATTTCTATTTCTGTAAAATTATCAATTTTTACAAGGGGAGGAGGGATTGGGTTGACAGTACTCTTGATAAATGCCTACCATAAATTGATAAATCATTTAAGAATTCAATATCAGTTGTTGATAGATTTTTGTGAGACTATTTATCAACAAAATCAAGTGCCCATGATATTCTATTTTGTTAAAACACCACAAAATGTATGCCCCACTGAGATATACCGCTACTTTTATAATCTATATGTTATTTCTTCCTGTATAGTGACCTTATAGTATGAAGTGAAATGTAGCTACAGTAAAAATTTTAATTATGTAATTTCCTATAGTCTGTCTCTTCAACACAAAGGTAAGGTTATAGATTAACTGGTCCAATATGGCAATGTGATCCTCTGAACCATCCCCATCCCTGATACTTACCATCACTCTTATATTCGCCATGCTCGAATCCACCAATATTAACATAAGATACTTACCATCACTCTTATATTTGCCACGCTCAAATCCACCAAGAGTAACAGAAGATGACTTATCCACAGTTGCTCCCTGTGGCTCATTCTTACTCCAGCTCTTAGAGAAACTTTTATCTGTGTTCTTTGTCTTGGGAATATCTGTAAGATAAGGTACAGGATTCCATCATCACAGACGGCACAGCAACAAACAAGGCATAAGACTATAAGCTATACAGTGGATCCCATTTATTGTTATATCAGATATCATGACATTTCACTTATTATGACATTTTTTCAATGTAACAAATATTCCCTATATAAACTAAGTAAAGAAAATTTTCTATTATGATAAAGTTCATTATGAAATAGTGGTTATTATAATATTTTTTTCCGTCAGAATTGATTTTCCGTAAGCTATAACCATATACAAGTGTCCATATTTGACACCTCGGTTGTTCATTGTGACACTAACAAGGCATCGCACACAATATTAATACCCTCTCACCTCAAGTTTGTATGAAATGGTAAGAGTAAATGGAAACCTACACGTTTTCTCAAATATCATCTCTTGCTAAAGTTCATATTTATACTTTCTGCTGTGCAAATGTAAGTTATGATTAGTATAAATAAATTATAATTTTTGTTTATACACAACTTTGTGGTTTTAATTGATTCTATGGCCATTTCATGAGCTTCAGGTTCCTTCCAGGGTCACAAATTCACACAAAGGTCAATCTGCCTAGACACTCAGGCATATACAACTATTAATATACAGTAAACTTTCCAGGGTCAGAAATTCTTTGTTTCTATTCAAATAAAAAGGCATGTAAGAGCCTATCAATACGTATGTTTTTTACAAAGTACATCCTCTTGAAAAGTGAACAAAAGATTTGCTGCCCCTAACCCTCACCAAAACCAAATTCTATACATGCACTGCTTCAGTACTCTCATACCCCATTATTTCGAGACTCTGACCTACCTTGACTTCGGCCCCTCTTCCTCTTGGCTTTCTGCTCACTGAGCCTCTGTAGAGGCAGGTCATGGAGATCAAGGTTGTACACTTGACGTGCCAGTACTCGGGTCAGTATTGCCATAGTTTTCTAAAGGTAAATTTAGAAAAGATTTAAATTAATTTGTGAAGATCAACATTATACATCTACATACGAGTTTCTTTCCTTTTTTTTTCTCTTTTTTCCTTTTTTTTTTCTTAACCTGATGTTGAGATTTAATCCTACAACATGCTTTTAGTCACACCCAATGAATTCATTACACAATAGCAATAATTTCTCCCCCATTTTGTTTTGATCTCCATAAACATTTTTATTGTTATCAAAGGAATGTTCAACAAAATATATATTTATACAAGTATGTACTAACTCATATTCAAACTTATTCATTTTTTTCAATTGGTTATAAAACGTAGTCTTTCTTCATATTTTTCTTTTTATTTATTTTTTCTCTTTCTTTTTTTTTCACTCAAAAACAATGTCCATTTTATATTATCACAGACATTATATTGTACTGACCGCCCATTCCTGGATAAGCTCCGGCCAGGAAGTCAGGGAAGACAACACCTGGAGAAACTCGTCCCATAGCTCCGTTGATACAAACACATTGAGATTCGCTTTGATCCAAGTGACGATCAACGTCTGTAATACAAAAAAAAATCTATATGAAGACCTTTAAAGTAAAGAAGTCCATGAATAAGCAAACTACTGAAATAACATGCATATGTGCAGTTTTTCTTGAGAAATGAAAGGTTCAAAGTAAAGGAAAGTGTGTACATAATGTAGCTACAGGATTTTCAAGTTTTCTTTTTGAAAGAAAGATTGAAGATTCTGTGATTTCGCCAACATTGACTGTTTTGTTAATCAGTACGCAAAACTGACACAAGAGAAACAATAACAAATGAAATAATTACAGTATAAATCAATGTGTACTATCCGAGTCAACATCATCAAAATCATGACAAATTATTCAAACATGTGATAGTAACAAGCAAGACAGGAAACTACCAAACAGAGAGAGAGGCCTGTTTGGAACAATGAAAAATATGGTAAATCTAGGTTGATTGAATAGGTGAGTGTAAGGTGAGTGAAATGTCTAATGTTAAATGGAAGTGAATAAACAAACAAGAAGTGCTTAAATTAAGCAGATTTTTTTCCCTGCTTTCACAGTATTGTACCAGTAATTCAAGAGAACAAGGTAATCAAAGGTGAAGAATTGAGATGAAAATTAATTTTTGAAAGAATACTTTCAAGCTTTGCACTGATCTTTGGTTTGACATGTGAGCTGAATATACTCTGACCAAATTCTTAGCACCATGAGAGAGCTTTTTACTGAATTTTAGATGCGCAAATTATTAAAGTAGAGGCAAATTTTCAGAAATTTTAATAAAAAAAAAAGTACTTAAGAAAAGTACGTAGAAGCACACATCACATGGGTATTTACGGTAATCATCTATAGATTTCATAGTCAGTTTTACTACAGTCTCGTCATCAGTAGCTATGATACACCAGCTGTAGATTGTATGGTCCTTTGACCATCAGTATTGGGACAAATTAGTTGTGTATTGTATGGTTACTCAGCCATCAGTAGCTATGATAGATTAGTTGTGTAGTTGTATGGTTTCTCCACCATCAGTAGCTAAAACAGATTAGTTGTGTAGCTGTATGGTCTCTCCACCATCAGTAGCTAAAACAGATTAGCTGTGTAGCTGTATGGGCTCTCCATCATCAGCAGCTAGGATAGGTTAGTTGTGTAGCGTATGGGCTCTCCACCATCAGTAGCTAGGATAGGCTAGTTGTGTAGAGTATGGTCTCTCAGCCATCAGTAGCCAGGACAGATTAGCTGTGTAGCTGTATGGTCTCTCCACCATCAGTAGCTAGGATAGGCTAGTTGTGTAGAGTATGGTCTCTCAGCCATCAGTAGCCAGGACAGATTAGCTGTGTAGCTGTATGGTCTCTCCACAATAAATAGCTAGGATAGATAAGCTGTGTATTGTATGATCTCTCAGCCATCAGTAGCTAGGATAGAATAGCTGTGTAGCTGTTTGGTTTCTCCACCATCAGTAGCTAAAACAGATTAGTTGTGTAGCTGTATGGTCTCTCCACCATCAGTAGCTAAAACAGATTAGCTGTGTAGCTGTATGGGCTCTCCACCATCAGTAGCTAGGATAGGTTAGTTGTGTAGCGTATGGGCTCTCCACCATCAGTAGCTAGGATAGGCTAGTTGTGTAGAGTATGGTCTCTCAGCCATCAGTAGCCAGGACAGATTAGCTGTGTAGCTGTCTGGTCTCTCCACAATTAGTAGCTAGGATAGATAAGCAGTGTATTGTATGATCTCTCAGCTATCAGTAGCTAGGATAGAATAGCTGTGTAGCTGTTTGGTTTCTCCACCATCAGTAGTTATAACAGATTAGCTGTGTAGCTGTATGGTCTCTCTGCCATCAGTAGCTAGGATAGGTTAGCTGTGTATTTTCAGTCTCTCTGCCATCAGTAGGTAAGACAGATTAGCTTTGTGTTGTATGGTCTCTCTGCCCTTGGTAGTTATGACAGATTAATTTTATAGAATATGTGACATTGAAGTAATCAAAACATAACAAATTAAATCTTCTGCAGGTTGAGCTTTAAGAATTACTATTCTATTGACATTACCAACCCGAAAAAATGCTTTAAAACAATAATTATACATTGTTTGGTCCCTCGGCCATCACTTAGTTACCTTCAGCAAGTGATGAGGCAAAACCAACATTTATATAGGTGAGAAAGGCATAAGTACAGGTTTCACTTGATACACGTACTTAAAATACCATCACCATACCTAAAACCGTTACTGTTGATTGTTGAAATAAATAACCTTCATTATTCAATAATATTTTCCTACTTCCCTCCTTTTTTTGTCTAATATAAGAACAAAAACATTAGTTTTTCTAGATTGTCTATATGAAGAAAATACTCTCAACTCATATATCTGCATTTCCAATGGAGAATTTTACAGAAATTAAAGTTAGAAGTCAGTCAGTATACAAATAAAATAATAGAGAAATTACGCCTTTAAGTGTAGAATTTGGAGTCAAATCAGTGCTAACGTTACCATATCAATCATAGTTTCTAGTGATCAACCAAAAGAGCATGCACTGACAACAGTAAAAAATGTTCTTTAGGATATAAACCGTAAGCTTGCTACAACAAGATTTTACCTGAAATATAATCTGTGCCATGCGACCACCAAGAAATTTCCATTTCATGTCAATGGGAATTTGGTGTAGTACACCTGATGTGACACATAGTAACACCTGTAGCATCTTCTCCCTGGTAATGATAAAATCTAGTTATTGTCTCCGGGATCACTTTTGTATCTATATCAACCTGGACACTGGCAGTGTAGTGACCAGAAAGACCTGCATACTGCCTGTAGTGAAATGCTTTAATACAATGATGGTCATGACTTTATCTTGAGACAATACTTTTTTAAACATACAAGCATAGAAATACTTTTAGAAACTAACATTAATTCATTGCTTTGATCTTTAAAATGGTAATGAAACAAAAATAAGCTAGAAGGAAATTCTACTCAGCACTTGCTACAAATGCCCTTTGCACACTGAATTTTAAAAACATAATTGTACATATTGGTAATACATTAATTCCATATTTACCAGTTTAACAGAAAATTAACCAATATCTAAAGACATTTCTGAAGCTTTCATTTATACATACCAGGTTTTCTGTTCCATTTTAATATTCATAACCAAAAACCTGTAGATATTTAAAACCCTCTTACAGAGATCCACCTGAAACAAAATGCATACAACAAAGTCAAACAAAAGACAAAGATTTCAAATATTCTCCTTAATTAAACTGAATCACTGACAGATCAGTAGGGGCTCAACTGTGTGAATGATTGTGTCACGTATCAATATATCAACATAACTGTTTCAGTGTATCATCACATGACATTTTGACAGTAAGGTCCTTTGATAGGCTCTAGAATCACAAGTATGTAAGGAGAGATACAGCCACACAGTGTTATTTGTACAGAAACGCAAGTCAGGACCCTCTGTCATCCACTCATCAAGGTTTGATAATTCTGCATCCTCCCTAGTTTTACTATGGAGTATATTAGTAAGATGACTATTAATGATTATGTAATATTGAGAATCAATCAATCAATTCAAATTAGAGATATCATGAAAAGTTTGATGGTGCCATATTGTACCTGTTCTGTAAGCATGTTTTCATCATCAGTCTGTAACAAGAAGATATTGGCAGCATTCGTGATGAACACCTGCAAAACCTTCTGTATACCAGCACGGATATCATACTGACTGTGGTCACCACCATCTGCCAGATCCTGGATTGCCCCTAAATAGGACGCATTCCGGATCTTGGACTTGTCCTGTGTAGTATCCAGGGTGATGAGCTGACGAATCCCTGTATAGGGGACTGATTCCTGAAACCATCCCACAGAGAATGATTGGTAAGTAAATGTTAAAAAGAGATCTATCTTATGGAATAGTGTGACATACCACAGAAAAACAATCTGTTTGAAAAATGATACAAAATTTCATTTCTCTAAAATACCATGCACTGTATTAACAAGAGTTCTTATATAAACTAATAAACTTCATCAACGAAAATTAAAAGATGATCTGGAAAGAAATCAGTCTCAGTAAATACTGACAATTATGCACTAATAATTGTAACACAGATAAGTGAAATCAGTAAATTCAACTTTAATCAGTTGAAGTCCTTAATCAGTTTTAAGTGTGTGATCATATCAGAATTTATCCCAAATATACCTCAGGTTTATCAACAATCATACATATATATAACACTGCATACATGTAGAATACATCTGAGCAATGCTGTTAAGTTACTGAGTAACTATGTACATGCTATTAGGAGACTGGTACTCTTAGTAACTCAAACCAGTGCTGCTGCATTCATATTAGTTCATTTCTACATACAGTATCCATTAACAAAACAGGTAAACATATCAGCTGTTTTTGGTACCTTGATCACCTACTTTTAAAAATAAGCAGTCAATATCTGCTCTAATACAGTCCAATTTCTTTAGTGGTAGAGCAATGGGATGTATCTATTTTTCCTGTTCAGGATTTAAATTTGAGATTACTGATTTGTTGTAACCTTCTTTATTACATTTGAACTTTTATGATTTCCATGCCTTCTTTTGTAACTAAAGTTGCCTTCACTGATAGAGTTTTTTCAGCTGCTGCTCTCTTTTCAGCCCTATGATGCAATCAATTATCAGGATGTAGTTATTGGGAACATGAGACTCTCAGTGTAACAAGTTGTCTAACATTTACCTCCAGGTTTTATATATACTGTGTGTGTATAAGCAATAAAACAGTCATTGGAACATATACCTACCTTCACAACAAGTTTTATTTGCGAGACCCCAGACAGAAAAATATTGGAAAAACAAAGAATACTTGAAGTGATACTGTCACTAAGTAACCAGGAAAATGTTGGGATGTAGAAATTTGGCAGTAAGTATTAAGGAAAGACAAATGACAGTAAGGAAACACAGTGAGATGAAAAGTGAAAACAGATCTTGAGATGTTTGAAGTAAACAAAGTGATAAATGAAAGACATCGTAATGAATTTCTACAATACATGCCTGAATCTTTTGACAGGAGACCAGCTGCTTGTGACCTACGTGTACAAACATGTGACCAACTGCTTGTGACCTGCATGTACCTACATGTGAGCAGCTGTGTGTGATCTGTGTGTAACAACAACCATAGTTTAGGATAAATTATTCTATCAATACCATAATCCTATTTCAGATACAGTTTCTTGTTTTGTGACCTGCTCCAACCATGACTGATGAAAACAGCCACTAAAATTCTAATCCACTGTCTACTTTAAATGCAAACTGGTGGATGGAAACCTTGGTCAGTTTGTGCATGTCCAGCCCTGCTTGGCGCTCGATACCTACATCAGATGAACCTTCCTCCTCCATGATATCAGAGAGACTGTGATGAAATTCGGGCGTGTCTCGCTGACTCGGCACCGTCCCGTTCTCACATGGTTCCTGCATGAAGATAGGCTTTTGATCTGCATGCTGTTGTAAATATAAAGAGCAAGACGAGTCAGCCTCATGCACTAAGGGGAGCTATGTCCAAGCTTGTGCCTGCCTTCACAAGTTCACAATGCCTATTTTGTAATGGTACATCAATTTTTTCATTTTGACTTTCAATATCAAAATATTCATTTTAGAAATTCAATATTTTTGATATCAAAATATTGAAAAGGTATCATACAAGTTTCAGATTTCTGCTTCATACAGCAATTTTTTTTCTTTGTTTCTTGATGAGATTTTATGAAGCTGTTTCTAGAAGTTTTGTCCAAAACAAATAACGGTACCATAACAAAATGCCATTTGAAAAAATGAAATTTCCATAGAACTCTCAATCATGCTGCTGGTGCTTATAGGTACTGACTGACAATAAATGCTACATTGGGAACTTTACAGGGTGACGTCCAGTTGTCATAACATGCTACTGTGTGTTAGTTAAAGCTACATATGCTTGTTAAAGGACATTGTTATTACTTACAAGACATGCCAGATTAATATTCATTTTCTGTGTATTATTTATACAGTGGATTCCATATCCTGATAAATTAGCATGGAATATTCATGATAGTAATACAGTTTATCACAATACCCCACACCATTTTAAAGTACACTGTATTTATTAATACAGTAATTCATTTTCAATGATGTAGCAATTTTGACATATACTGATTTAAAAGTTGCACTACGTATACATTTAGTGGTACTTTCCACATCATAGATACCTAGGTAAACCTTTTAGAAGAATGTCTTAGTCAATATCACATTTTCCATTGAAATAAGAAATCCCAGTTGGAGCTTGGCTCCCATCATTGTATGATCTTAACAGGGTCTATGTATTTCAAATGTTTTCCCTCCTTTCCATTTAGTTTGTATTTCTCAACAAATAACAATTATTAAAGATTGATTGTCTATTTTGTATGAAATCATGAAGTGAATTCAATCTTGTGTAAATAAACTGTGATGAAAAACTATTACTGTCACAATCAAAGATGGCTGCCTGTCTGCAATTTTGATTTTCTAATCAGTCCCAGAATAAAGAAATGAGAAACCCAAGATTAATCCATCCAGTACTTCTCAAGAAATAGAGACAACAAACTGCAAGTGTCAAAATCCAAGTTGGCTGCCCTGTGGCCACTTTTATTTTTTTTATTAGTCCTGAACATGGACAATGCACAAATAGGTACATAGGGAAACCTACATATAACTTTTGAACAATTCAACCAGTACTCCTCAAAATTGGCGATAACAACGATGATTTATTAATGGGAGGACAGAACATAGAACATGGCTGAGGGCCATCTGTACTGCTCACTATCTGGTGAGGATGGGCTTTAAAGATCAGGGATTTTAAACAATTTTCACAATAACATCTAAGCAATACAGGAAAGTTTGATTACGCTGACCATGCTCCAATTCTTTATGTGGAATTCTTGACTGATAAAATGACTTTCGGTAAATCAACTATTGCACTTCAACCACAACCAAAATGACAGGTAAAAATGTTATGCTTAGCTTGCAATAGAATGCAAGCCTAGTCTACAGAAGCACTATGTTAACGACATAGTGGAAAATATTGGAAATAGTCAAGAAAAGGTCACAGAAAGATTTGACTATGCATATCAATATCGTAGATACCACCAACAGCATCAAATTTACCTGTGAGAAGAAATAGATGGCACTATGCCATTCCTTAATCTCTTCTAGTAAAGAACAATGACAGTACTACCAAAGTATTGGTCTATGGAAGAAAGAGGCACATAGACCAATATCTCAAATGTCAAACACATTACCCCTTACACAATTAGTTGGGCATTATACAAACCTTGCTTGACAGATATAAAATGATTGTCACAGAAGAAGACAAGACATCTTACTATTTAGTACAACTTAAAAAGATGGTGGATCCTTGCCATCTTGTACACTACATACATCAGTGTTAATACGCTTCACACTGGTCATTCATCATTTGTCTGATGAAGGTGACCATGCATTCATCAAAACATCACACTGAAATCTTCTACTGGTTCTGTTATAGGAACTTTTATTCTATAAAAATGCTATGATGCTTTTATTCTGTGCTACATTGTAATAATGTACTGGTAGAATTTTCTTACAAAATTGCAAGGATATTAAATCTTGAATATTGTTTGTCATTTCTCTATGAAACAATTTCACTGAATTACGTTAGTTACAAATTTTTTCATTCAATCATTCCTCTAACTACTAAATTTATTTTATACTGCAAGATTCACAGGCTATTTTCAGTGATGGCTGGAAAGATTATATAACTATATCATATGAAGTCTGGTTCACAATATGCAATTGTTACCTCTAAAGAGAGCTTTACCGAAGTGTTGATTAAGGAAAATGTCTAGTACATACTTACAATAAACGGACATCGGAGCCCCAATGATAATGATTTCATGCAATAATTGATCTAAATTTTCTGTTTCATCAACATAAATGTTTCCAACGTATTGGTATGTATCTTACTTTCAAACTAAAAGCTAGAAAAACTCAGTAAAAATTGTAAAACTCCTAGATCTGAAGGCACATTTTTTTGCGGTTCTATTAAAGATGATTCATATCCAGAATAAATATTGATACTGATTTTGAATCTTCAATGTTAACAGAAATGTATAGACAAGACACTCTTGTATCTTTACAAGAAGGAGTATGAAATAGAAGGCAATGTTAACCAGACTTCATACAGACTGACACGTTTGTCACTGTTCTGATGCATTCCTTGATACACAGCATAACCAACACTTACCTGAAACCAGTCCTTGTAAACACCAATTACAGTCTTAATTGCTTTCGCATGTTGAAAGGAAAAGAGCAAGGCCTTAAAAAAATGAAAACATTCTCAATTTACACAGTATGAAGTAAGTATTTCTTGCTAAAAATTCTTCATTTATCTAATGAGGTGAACATTTTGTAAAACTGCAAAAATTTTACTTAACATGTCTTATACACTAAATCCCACTTACTGTAAACACGCTTAATCTGGCGCAATCAAATTTAAGTGCAATATCACTTTTTTGGTAAATCAGTGCAGTGATACATTAGCCATCCACAAAAATTGCTTGAAAACCAATATACAGAAAGTTCAGCATGAATAGGGCTAAATAAGATAAATGTATCATTATGATTAAATATCGTGATTAGTTTCACAACACAAAGTTTGGATCAGCCTAACAACATGTATGATTCAGCTCCACATATTTTTTGCAGATTAAAAAGCACCACTGGAGAAAGAATTTACAAAACAATTATTCTTTATCATGTTAGAATAAACATATTTCATCCATCTTACTTTCATGCAATCTTGTTAAGAAACATTTTAATTGTAATAAAGGAATTTTCCATATGTGTGCGACTTTGAAGCTTTGAGTTGAATTTTCCAAGCAAAATGTACATAGGTTTAAAATTAACCCAGATGTCTTAAACTGAAAACACTAGGATGCTAACCTGTCTAAATGACTCGTGTACAATGTTGACATTTTCCCGCGTAGAAAAGAGAACTGTCCGCACTATACTGTTGTCATTATCAACATCCTCATAACAGAGACTGGAGTTGGCCGAGTCTTGTTCAGAACTGTGTGACACTGTCGACAGTGTACTTGCATTACTGCCTGGCATGTGTTCGCCAGTGGTCACTTTGTGGTCAACCATGTCCTTTTGATCATCTTCTGCCACAACAGACTCCCCAACAGTACAGCCAACATCACTGTACATGAACAACAACAAATTCAAATCAAATACACTTCAAATTAAAACATATTTCATTCAACAATAAGCTCAAAACATTCTATCTTTAAAATTGAAGTCAACAAATATATTGTTAATATGTAATAAGTCTACGTCTTTATTTGGATTTGGAGAGATTACAATGCAAAACTTTTGTAATTTGTTTCACCCGCCATTGATCAAGTATATAATACAGTCTTATTTATTCATACATTCATTATACATATGCCATGGATATCTGAACATTGTATATGAATACACATATACAACTTGATATACAAACTTTGAGGATTTAATATATCCTATTTTAATCATACAAAGAGATAAAGCAAATATATGATTGGATAGCATTTTAAAAAGAAGCAGGACATACTTATCAGTCTGCTGTTCAGGCTTATTGGAGACAACAAGGAATAATGCCAGCCACTTGATATAGGAGTAACGACATTCAGCAACATTGACTGGTAGATCCTTACTCTTCATGTCCTGCATCTTACGTTTCTCTGGCATTTCTGACACAAGGAATATGTTACAATTACTTTATCAAATTAGGACAATTGTTAAATTTACATGGAGTACATTCAGATTACAGTCTGAACAATAATACTTTCAGATTCCTACTAAACTTTTATATGTGAATGCAGTTTGAGTATTAAACTATCTTAAGCAATTAACGTAATGAATTTCTAAAAAAATCTTGACATAAAAAAAGAAATAAAAAAAAAAGAAATCAAATTCTCCATCATTATAAATAGTCTTTCATAGGTTTACATTGCACCAATTATAATGTTTCCGTCGCCATGGTAACATATTCTGTTATTGCAAACTTACCCAAGACCGGATCATAGATACTGCTACTTCTGTCGAAGTCAGGGAGTAGCCATGTCAGATAGGTGGTTTTAAATTTGTCAAATAAGAAAATGAAACTAGCCTCCTGCATCTCTTTATTAAGCCATACCACTTTAGAAATCTGTAATATATTAATGTGATTTCCATTTTAATCCAACTTTACATTTCAGTAAAGCATCTGGAGTTATAAACCCTATTTGTTATTCTACTGCAAATAGATATACCTTGTTTACACTAATGGATAACTGCAAGCACATACCAAAATAAGGGTCTTTTTATGACAGAGTGTTTATTTACAATTAAGTACAGATTAAAAGTTTGTATGTATTAATACATTCACACACTTACCAGTATGTAAATCCAAAACACTGTAAAAATCACATCACTGGTAGTAATGATACAGGAACACTATCAAACCTATACACAGTAATGGATAAACACTGTATCTGAGACAATTCAGTATTTGGATATTCAGTCAATTACCTCTGATACCATGTCATGAAGAAGACAGTCAAAGAAGTGCTTGGTGATATTATCAGGCAACTTTTCTCCGCTAGCTGGTAAGATTGGTGTGATTTCTCCAGCAGCTATCAACCCACCACAGTCTAAACAGTGATAATTGTCATCAACATAATCAGTCCCAATACAAAAGTTCTTTTCTTTGCTTCAAAATATTTGTTTAGATCAACACATTATGTAAACAATATAAATGAAAAGTTCTTTTTTCCATTATTAATGAAACTTAATTCAATAGTATCAATAATTGAATAAGTCATTATAAAACTCCTGAAAAATTATTGGTTATTTACTGCAGAACAGACCCAAATAACAAACCTGGCCAGTCAGTGGGTTCTGAGGTGCTGTTACGACTACTGCTAAGCAGCTCTTGCTGAACTCCGTCACCCAAACCTGGCACCAGCTGTAGAAAAATACGGTGGCATTCCTCTGATGCATTCCCTTGTAATATCTGATACCATATTATAAACAATCTCATACCATCTTTTCTTGTCTGAAAAAAAAATTACTAACTCATTTTAGCATGAATACTACATTTTTTGTTCCAAGATTAATAACGATACGAATATTGTAGTAACAGACAATGAGAAATATTAGAGTAAGTTGAGCTGTAATGAATCAACTTAAGGATACAAAGGGTGATAAAATGAGAACCCAACTCTTTATAGAAAACAAGAGACCTTTAACTTACAGCTATATTGTAAAATCAATCCAAAAAGACCTTAGTCATGGTCATGGTAGTCATTTTCCTTAAAGTTAGTTTATAAAGTCAAGGGAATGCCCTAAATGTAAGGAAAAGAAGTACAAAAATAGCAATAAAACATATCAAACTCTAATCTCTTGATGTTACATACCTTCAAACCATTGCTTGGATGAAGTAATTTTTTCATAATACGACCTGAAAAATAACTTTCCTTTTTTAAAACAAACATTTGGTGTAAAAAATAAATTTGACAAAATTGTTATTTGAATCATCATTTTTTCATATCTGTTAAAATACCAAATTAATGATAATAAAAGTTTTGATAATTTGCAAACATAATTTGTTTTCATTTTCTAACAATGAAGAATGCAAAAGGTTATGCAAGCAAACCTTCCACAAATTTTTCCATGAAAGACCCTTTGACATAAACGGTTACCTAACGAATCTCAACCGAACACATTGTTGAACTCATCGGAGATCTCTCTGATGTATGGATAAATACCAAGTTTCATCAAAATCTGTTCACATTTACTCAAGTTATCCTGTTCAAAAGGTCCATGCTAATACAACTGTAAAAGGCCATAATTCTGTTAAATACCAACAAATCACATTATAGTCAAACTCTTTCAAAACCTTATGGCTGCATAGTTTCATCAAAATTGATTCACATTTACTCTTGTTCTTGTATTCACCAAAAAGTCAGGTGACCTATAATTATAATACAGTTCAAACATAATTTCAATTCATCAAGATCGACTAGAAAACTTACATATATCGAAGATGCTTATAACAAAGACAATAATAGAATTTTTTTATTAAACAATGAAATGGTTATATGTGCCAACATATTTCTTCACAAATACCACTGAATTTGACTCAGGGGGTCACTTTTTCAAGACCAGCTATACAAGCCCAACAAAATGAACAAGAGATTCAACATGGATAGGGCACCCACCATCATTTGATTTCATTTGTTCTATAAAGTTAGATTTCTACCCTTCTTTTATCTTCTTTCCTCTGTTTTCCTCTTAATATGAAATTATAACATTCCTCTTGAGATGTAATAACAATAATTCTTCATCAAAATACATGATCGCCACCTAACACTCATATTATTTTTCCGATCAGTCCCATAACAGCCACAACTATGGACCAAGGGAAACCTACATGTGGAATCTGAGAAAGATCCATCCAGCCCCTTTTGAAGAAACCAAGAGTTGTTTATGGACAGACAGACAACAGCTAACAGACCACAGACACAGGGCAATTTCAATCGCCCACCATCTGAGAGTGGTAGGCTAATGGATCTAACAGCATATTCATAATAAAAATCTCAAATTATTGACAGACAATCAAATGATTCTCCAAGTCAGGACTAAGATTTGAGCAGATTTTAACTGATCTATAGAAAGAGGATATTGGCAATAAAACCACATACAGTATTTAAACTTTGACATAGACTTTGTGCTCAAATCTCATGTGATCTTACAATACCATTAAAAGGCGAGAGGGAAGTGTTACCTATACTGTGAAACATCCATCTTTTATGAACCAACTCGGGCAACAGCAGTAGAATTTTCTGAAATGTAACAATTATGGTAAATGGCATAATTTCTATTTCTAAAAATGTATGCTTATTCTATTTTGAAATCAGGTTTACGTAATTTTCATGCACATCGGTATTCTAAAATATATATAAAAAAAATGTATTTTTGTTAGACGGATATACAACAAAATTACTTGGTATTTCTCAATACTTCTATCATTAAAATACCTTTTTCCCCATCGAATAAGAATTACCTTGAAATTATTTTTACAGAAAAACACACACACATACAGAAACAAACCTCAAATATTTGAAGAATGCTGTCTAGTTCTTCTCTATGTGCCTTGTTAGCTAAAACAGGAAAGGTATGTATAGTAAAATTGATATTCCATGAAAGCTATCACAAAAAAGTCTAGTTGTAAGCATAGCAATTTGAAAATTGCAAAAAATGAAAAATACTCAATACAAATCTTTCTTTTTTCTATAAAGCTTAAAATTCATTAGTGTTTCTTTTTTTCCTTATTTCTTTAACTTGTGTCAACTTGTGTATGGTACTGACCTCTCTGTTTTAAATCTGCTTCAACTGTGGCAAAGTTATCGTTGAAGATAAAGTAAATATGGGAATAGTTGGCTACAAAGAAAGACTTGGCATCGGGAACTTCATAATTTTCTGTAAAACAAATTTAAAATGTTTTATCCATACATGAGAATGGCTAGTATACATATCATAGTCAGATGTTTTAAATTGGTTACTTTATTTCAAGCAAGAAAATACCTTGAAACCAGGGCTGAGTTTAGCCACAAACCAACAAACCACTAATGATCAGTTGACTTTTATGAGACAACTTAGATGTTTGGTACAGTTATATTCTCAAGGATGTTTTAATCTTCAATTTTTATTGAGGGTTAGTCTCAAGCTTGCAGAAAAGGAACATGTTCTTCTGTTACACTTCAATATAAATATATTCCCATTTCGTAAGTGAATAAGACAAACATTCCCACTGCTGATATTGGTAAGCGATGAATACAGTCCTGTTGTTGCACTATTTAAACCAATGGAAATTGTATGGTAACAGTGTATCTTTTAAACAGACATTATAATAAGCAAATAATTAAAATGTCTCTACAACTGTAAATGGACGGGTATTTTTCATATTTCATTGATTAATTTATCACTGCTTCTTACATGTATATATTACCAACGTTAAGACATTTCAATCACTTATTTCCTATAGTATCATATATATACGACCTTCAGTGAGGAATGAAGACGAGGTTGTCCCTCATATCTTTGGATATCAAGTGGTGTGGTAGGTGGCACTCCAGCCATCCAGCTTCAAGTTCAACAAGTGTTTTGGTTTGGGAACGCCCATTATTCTAAAGTCAGTCAATCAGATAATAAAAATCACGGATAACGACAGATGTCGTTGGTTTCGTTTTGAAAAACGTAAAACTACATCGATTTTCTTTAATTTCCTCCAAATTTTCTCCCATTTTTGGGATGCAAATGCATCTTTCAGGAGCCAAAACAACCTTACCGAGCACCTGACGAAGATGCTTCAGTCGTGTCGGAGTGTCTTTTTTCGGGTCAGAGACTTTCTGTGCTGATTTCCTAATGTCACCATGACTAGGAGCTTTCCTAAACATAGCCAGGGCCGAAGACATTTATGTTGTTTTAAAGAAATGTCTGGTCATGCCAATCATTTCGTCTGCACAACCTCTGACAAATGGCGCTGTGTTTACTTGCGCATGCGTAGCGATGAAATTATTGATGGTCATTTCCGTTTACCGTGTGTTATCTGGTTTGATATGAAATCAACATGTTCCTACGTCAGTGAAATGTCCACATTCTGAAACAAAAAAAGGCGTTTATTCTAGGAACGATATTGATCATGTTCTACAAATTACATTATCTGAGCGAAATCGTAGCTATTATATAAGCTTATCTGTGTGTGGGAGGTTGCAGGGGACAACAAGGGGTAGGGGATAGCACGCATTCACATAGGAAACGTCTCTGGTCTCACGATTCTTTCATGCACAACTTTATTAGATTATTGTTATTTTTAAGCGAACATACCGATGTATAGGGCTAAGTACATATGGCATTGCAATACGTTTTCATTTCATATGATCATAGACGTATATATGTGTTATATACGTCTCTGATATGATGTAGGTAATCTTAAACGAGTCTTTCAATTTTCCATAACGATATGACCCATGATGCAGGATTCAATAATAAGGAATTGCAGGAAAAGATCTTGAATTTTTGTGTATTTCAAAAGATGGTAAACCAAAATCTGGAGAGCCATAACATTTTTAAACATTTAAAGAACAGCTTCAGGAATAATTTCACGTGAAAATAAAACGATATTAGGAAGTATTGTCAATAATTGAGATCAGTAGATTTTTGTGAATCAGGGTGTAATGATGTTAGCAGTCATCCTGGTACATGGTATTGATGACAAACAAATATCTTAATTCACACTTATACGAAATTTCAAAGACATGTTGGGGAAATTTTAGTTGTGTGAGCGTAATTCTCGACGTGACGTGACGTTTAGCATGGCATTGCATTGCATAGCACAGTACAATATAGTATATGGATGACATCAAGGTGATCTGACTAGTCCTTAATTTTGTATTTTTTGACGGTATTTAAGTTCTACATATATATCGTGTTATATACGTCTCTGGTTCTAGACTGTGAAGCCAATATGCTAGTTTGGTAAGCGGGATGAGTCCGAGAGGTCACTGAGTGTGATTCGTTGGATGGATTGATATTTCTGGGATATAAATGTTTCCCTATCTAAGGGCGGATTTAAGTCCGACGCGGAAATAAATATGCACCGGATGAGGTTGTCGACTTCTGTGTAATCTAAATACAACGCCATAGATCAAATTGCAAGCGGATACATTTTATAACCGATAACCATTTTTACACAGAATATAATTTCGTGTCATGGGTGTCGTTGACACTTTTTCCTGCTATTGTTTTCTGCTTTTCCCAAAGCCCTCCAAACGAAATGGAGGTACTGTTATTACTCCGGTTCGAATTTTTAGCCTTTCTTTTCCTTCTTTATCCATAGGTTTCGGTCATTTTTCTCGGAAACTTTAAACACTTGTTTAGTAATACGAGTTTCAAATCCGTAAATGCATTTGATCCTTTTAGTTTGTTTTTCATTTCCACGGGGTTTTAAGGATTGTTTTGTAGACCGAGATATATTTTAAGCTGTCGATAGGCCGAGAGTTGACAGACTATTTATAGCGAGCCAGATATCCAAGGCTTAAATGCATTTTCGACTACGTTTACAGATCTTTAATTTGTAATGCACGATCTGCTGGTAATTATTGTGCACGTATTCTAAGCACCCAATAACTTTTAAAAATGATGCGGCATTATGCTTGTATTTGCAGAAGAAAGAACGGACTTGTGATACAGTAATTTCAGCAAATGTCCAATGAATGAAATTATTGAATTTATATAATTTATAAATTATAAACAATGATAGCGGTCTACGCCTTTTTATGCAAAATCATTGAGATATATTTGAATGATTACATAAGTCAATGATAAATGCTGAAGTGAAGGTGCTGAGATTTGCACAGCCTGATTATATTAACCACTATCCAAAATATGCTAGAGAAGTTAGGCCTTTCCATCAATAACTCTCGCTCAGGACGATATTTTGGTAAAACTTTCTCATTGAATTTCAAGGCATTTTGTAACTAGCACCACTTTAACCAAACAGTAACACAATAAATTGGGTATTCGCCTTTGGCTTTCCAAACCGCTCGCTGTGAGCGAACAACGAGGGTTGTGTATTATCCCAAACCAGGAAATAGGGACCGGAGTCATGTTCCATGGGAATGTTTTTTAATAATGCTTGCCTCTGGTGCATTGTCACGCATTCTGAAGATATATTTTTTGTTTTCATTTTAAAATGTGCAGCTTTAGTCATTCGTACAACTTCTTCCCGCGAAAATGCATGATGGAAATAAAGCATATTCTATCCAAAGTTGTGTTTGTTTACATTGCAAGTCGGATTTGTTGATATTGTTTTAAGCTACGTTTATAGGAGAGTAAATGGATTGACTCTAATATTTAAAATAACATATTTGATTGATTTTTTTTTATATAAAATTAAATTATATTGATAGATCAGATAGGTTACAATAGCCAGGTACTTGTTATCCACAGTTTTTTTTTATTTATTTATTTTCGCATGCAACGTGCTCATGTGGCTTCTCACGGTTAAAACTGATCTTCCTTATACGTTTAACTTAAACAAAACAAGGAGGTGTCATTGTGTGTCATACCTCTTTAATTCAGTCAATCTTTTCGGTCAATAACAGATTTCAAAACTCTTATGTTAACATTTCATCAGACCATTAAGAAAATAAATGTTAAAAATCGACTTATATACAATTAAATCAGCGACTGACATGAAAGCCTGTATTTTGCCAAAGAAGGAATAGTGTAGTGAAATCACCCTTATGTCATGACACTATGCTATAGAGTGTTAAAAGTATTCTGATATCTGTATCGGCCTGCCTTTGAACAAGTTTGGACTACAGCAAGACTTCAGTAATATGTACATGATATATCTACGTTTGGATGTCTGGCAAATTCGAGAGAAGCGCTTGATTGATCAAGATCGGTGCATTGATTGGACGATTGTGAGCCAATCAGTGAGAAGCCCAGATTTTGTGCCGTGTTTGTACAGTTCGACGTCAGTTGCGGAAAGCTTGTTGTAATCCTGTGAGCTTCTCCAAGTATTTGGACGAAGGAAGGATTATCACAATGTATAGAAAGACACGAAGAAAATGCACTTCATCACCAAGGAAGTTTTTCGACCGGTAAAATTGCGATTTTAAAGGTAAGTGGTGTTAAAATAAGTATACTGTATACCCCTTTGATGTTCCTAGTACCAAGGTGCTCGGCGCCAGTTGATGACTAAGTCATTTCATTGAATCTTAGGGCTATTGAGATCGTTTGTAAATTGAAATAGATAAGAATTATCTTCCAGATGTTGTGTTGATTAGTATAGCTACAACTTTATGTATAAATTTCCTTTCATTTTTGGTAAAATGATGTATTTCTTCGAGTTATATGAGGTTAGTCAAAAATAGAATGTCGAAAACGAGGCTGTGTACATGTCGACGGGGACTGTTGTTTACGCAGAAACCACTGTCAGGATGTGTGATCACTTGTTGTGCCGGTATGTTATGTGCACGCTGTCGTTTACCTGTTGATAAAAGGTTATAAAAACTCCGATGCATTTTTTTAAAATGCTCAATATTTTTCAATTGTCGTATTGAGAAAGGATAAAAGAGAAAAGAAGAAAAATGTCCGAATCGGGAAGTGAGTCACTGGTGACCTATTTATAGCACAACCTTTCATGAAACACAAATGAACGGGAAATACCATAACCTATGTCACACGAAAGCCTATGGCAGACGTCCAGTTATGAAATATCGTCCAAATATAGCATTTTACTTATAGCTGGTGTTTTATTTTTCATATTATGCAATAGTTGTTGTCAGCATTTATATTTAGTTTCAATTCTTTATTGTGTATTTCAGGATTTGGTATTGACCAATCTGAAAAAAAAGGAAAAATGGGAATCAAAAGAAAACTAGATGAATACGATGAAGGCGGAGAGAAAAATATTGAGCCTGGCATTCAACGGCAGTCAGTTTTGGACATATCAATGTTCAAACTTCAGACCCACCCTTCTAGAAGAGTAGAGCCATCATTACTACGCTCAGTCTTAATTCTTAATACTCTAAAACACATAGAATGTGAACTTCAGAAAGAAGGAGTTTCAAGCGATTTTTCTGAAGCTGCCTCAATGACTTTAAATGAAAATTCTGACATGTCAATGGATGTATTACCAGACTGTGAAAATATTGGGAATGGAGACATCCAGTCGGATATGTCTGAACTCCACATCAGCAACAGCATGGAGACTACAAGTCTATCAATTCCAAAAGACACTGTCAACCCACTCCCACCTATTGAGTCATTTGTTGAACTATCTAGTGCTTTTCCTCTCTCTAGTGGATCATCATTATCTTGTGGACCTCTGAAAGTCAAAAACTCTTGTCATGATTCCAAAGAACAATTTACAAGCTCTGAACAACATAGTAATATGCAGCTGAATTTCCCAGTGAAGACTGAAGACATTTTGACTGACATAGATGTATCAACATGTGATTTTGACATTTTCTCATCTCTCGCCTCAAGTATGAAACTAACACCGCTAAGTGCAGAAGAAGTTATGCATTCATTTCCTGTGCATGATGGCTATTCAACGCTGTTCAGCAATTGTAGTCAAGTGGGTGCATCATGTAAGAGCGACCTCATGCCAGAAGATATTGACAATATAATGCAAATATTAGTTGGTACCTAGTTGATGTTGAAATATATTGAATCAGTTCATAATTATATTTTCCACAGACTTAACACCATAATGCTGTGAATAACATTTTAAAAGGGAGGTGCAGGGATAAGGTTGTGATCCCAGGATGAAGCACCACAGCCATAATGTGTGCAATTCTGTATGACTATTTATAAGTTTTGTTGTCCAAATCTTGCACAAAAGACAATTGATATAAGTTATTATTGATGTGTTGTTTAGTGATATGAGTTGTCAGTATACAAGATATTTATATTTATTTCTCAAACGCAAAGATTACAATTGTCATTATTTATGAGTGAAATCAAGGTTATTTATGGTTTGTTTGCTGTATTGAATTGGCAGCATGCAGGATCATTTGTTGTTTTAACTTCTGTTTTTATATTGAAATGTGTTTCTTGAATTTGCAACTGTACTTGAATTTTGTGATTGGAACATTTTTATGACAGGTACATTTTAGAAGACTTCCATATTCAGCAGAGTCTTAGTGGTGAAGTTTTTGCAACCCTGACATTCTATCTTGTAAACTCTCCACATGTTGTGAGAGGTATTTTTAGGTTAAATTAAATTAGGCATAGGGATTGTAATTTTCAGTTCTTTCACAAACATTTTTACCACATGCACACTGTTGATGTGTGAATGTATAAGGTAGTTATTCTTCAAGGTATGAAATAGTTTTAAAATGTCAAAAAAGGTATATGTAAAGATTGTCAAAAACCTGTAGTTTAAATTTCTGTCTCATACTTAAGCCTTGGAAGAAAATATTTTTGTGATAAAATTCAAATGTTTGAAAGCATTATTATTACAGTGTTAATCAGTTATGTGTTGCCTTTTCATTTTAAAAAAATGGGAAAGATCAATGATTGGCAATTTTGTGAAAGATTATATCTTTGTTGTATAAAATGTATTTAACTTTATGAAGTCACAATAGATTATATAGGAGTTAAAGAATACAGTATTATGCAAATTCTGTTGTATAAATCAAGATTCCAGAGTTGTTGGTGCCTGTGTACATCAAAGCTAATTGCCAACATGTGAATTAAACCCGGTCATTTCTTGAAAAATGCAGCATCTCAAGAAATGTTTGCATTTATGACAATTTCCATCCAAATTTTTTCAATTCCAAATTGTAACACCATGTTCGTATTGTGTGAAAGTTTTATCCATCCAAACAAGTAATGTATCCAAAAAGCATCCATATATATTCTAGAGTGCTATGTACCGATCTCCTGCTAATTCAGAACCAGTTAAATGTTGCATGGTGACCCAACATTTAAAGTTGTTAATTCCTAATTAGCATACTTGTATCCCAAGGTCTATTTAGGCCCACATGGAGTATTCAAAAATTCCTAATTGTGGTATATATATGGTTTCATCTATGAAGGCTCGGCCGTGGCCAGTAATAGGGATGCAGGCAATTTTTAAATGTTACTTAATGAAATGAACTCACGGAGATGATTGGCAAAATATTGAATATGGTTGTTCTAGAAGTGAAGATATATGTGCTACACTCTTGATTGAGTGCGATTTTAAATGGTTTGTATTTTTATATTGGATATGTCATATCCTGTACCAAAATCATTATTTCATTGTAATTTAAATTGTGTGTTATTTTATGCTAAGAATCTCCACAATTCCACATATATTTATATGCTTTAGAACATTTCATGTCTCATGAAGAAAGATAACATTTTGCAAAGCTTGAACTTTTTGTAATGGCGGCACAAAATGGAATCTCAATTCTTTTTAAATTTTTGGCTCAATGAATAAGTACAATACCAGACTAGTCACCAGAAGTATATAAGCATTGATTGATTAATTTATTTTTGTGATAAATATTTATCAGCAATGCTCCTTCATCAGGAGTGATTTGCTTGACATAACATGTACAGGAGTTAGGCCTGCAGAACTTCTTGCACATTTATATGCAACTTTGTATCTATGATTCCCTAACATTGAAATTCTGTTAAAGCTTTTCCTTGACATTCTGACATCTGAAGATTGACACAAAAGTCACATAGAAATTGTACTTGCATATAATTGCCATTGAAAATGGAGGAGATATGAATTCTCTTTTCTCATAAATCTGGCATTGTAACCTGCATGGGTTCACATACTGATTCTCTTCTTAAACATAAATGAACTTAATCAGCTGGAACAATGGTATGCAGGATATGTATGAGGGTGTCTGGTTAGAAAGTTTGCAAAGATGTTTCCAGTATTAATGGGTTTTTCTGCAGTTATCTATAGCATATTGAGGGTGACTAAGTGTTTAGATATGACTAATTGAGTCTCTTTTGCCACAAAATGTACTTTTCCCAATTGTCTGAAAGCTTAATGTTATAGTATAACCATTGACCAGGAGCTAGTTAGTATATATGGAAAGAAATCATTTCAAATAGCATCAGAGAGGTACAATGCAATTTACTGTTTATTTGATGGCACTGAGCTGCAGTGCCATTAATTTACATTATAGGACAAAATTGGCGACTGAACTTATGAGTATGGATGAGGATCTGTGCTCTTCTAGAAAGTTCATGTAATTACATCTAGCCGATAGAAACATAGTCACAAAACCCTTTCCTTACCCACATTCCAAATGGCCACATTTCCTGTTATTTTTGTCAAATTCTTTATAGCTGTTTTATCTGTCACAATTAGTGTCAAGGTAACAGCAAACAAATTACAGTGATGTATTCTATACAGTTACATGCAGCATGCTTTTGCCAGGTATATTTCTCTACATAATAATAGCAAAAGATATTCTGAAAGGGAAGTATTCTAAATGGCAAGTTGAAAAAAGTGATAGAATAAATTTATACAGAACATTGTATAATAAATCTTTTGTAGCCATTTGGCTGACTACAAATTTTAAATAAAAGAATGTCAAAAAGTTTATCTACAAGTACATTGTCATATGCATTACAAGTACATTGTCATATGCATAACAAGTCAGTTCAGTACATTTTTAACTATTTATGAGGAAAATACATGTATAAATATCATTGTCACTTGTTGTAGAATAGAGTACAATTATGAATTTATGAATGTCATTATTTTATAAGGACTGAAACCATATCATGTTTTCTGTTGATCTAATTTGAATCATGCTCATTATTTTTTTTTTTTTTTTTAAACAAATCAAGCATTTCATTAATTGTATTTGAGCCAAATCACAATTCATAATTTTACAATATGCAATATCTAATTTATTGTAATATTTACATGAATTAATGTAAATATCCATATTATTTATTTTGTACAAAGTGCAGATTTATCAAATTATGATACCCTTATCATTTTTATACAAGATAAAAATGTGGATGATGCTGGGCACAGTAGAAAGCTGTTTTGCTCTTCCTTATTGTATGTAGTGTTAAGTAGTGTTAAATACAAGAGTTTTTAACAGAAACATTGAAAGGTATTTTTTACGCATTCAGGTTTTTCTAGATGATCGAATATTATTTGTAATTCAATGTTGGTAAAATGGTCTCAAGTTACCATCTGTTGAAGATTTTATATTATGCTGTCAAAAGCTTGGATGATTCATTGAATGGTTTTGTTGAAGGAATTACAGAGTTTATGAATCTTTCGGATGTGGTGAATGTAATTTTGAACAGCATTTGTAATGTCTGAAAAACATAGAGAAATTATTGATGAGTAGCTTGAAACTTTGGAGATTGAATACCAGATACATACTCTATAGTTGTAATCAAAATATGTTTGTTTGGAATTGTTTAGAAAGTTCAAACATTGGAGTTGATTATTGGTGAAGAAGTGATGTGTTGGAATGTCTTCCTAAACTTCCATCTCTCTGTTGATGAAACGAATAACATCTTACTAAAATTTTAAAAACGTGTATATTTAAATGGACATGTATTGGATGATAAAAAACATGCATATAAACCCTGGCAGTGATCACAAAATCCAATCCTAGAAATGAAATTCTAATTTGAACTGACCAATCAAAAGAGGGGCTTTATTATGGGTATATCCCAAAGAATTTCCAGTTAATGATAGTTTAGATAATTTGGTAAACTGAAGGGGATCTATGTCCAGAGAGATGGAGTGGTCTTGTCTGTGTTCTGGGGGTGACCATGCATAGGTATGGTTTTTCCCGCTGAGTTATGATTATAAAATGTGATAGAAGCAACTGTGAACCTTCTGAATGCAATATGTATATATTTTGTTTGTTTGTTTTTTTTTTCCCTGTATTTTTTTTACCATCAAAAACATTGCTGTTCCAATTCAAATGTTCATTTTTTTTGGGGAGGGGATTTAATTCTGTTCAACAATATCTTGTTTGATATGCATTGGTCCATATTTTGACCTCTGATTAATAACAATTTTATAATAAATGGAAATGTTTTTAACCAATGATAATTTCTGTCAAAGGATGGGTATGACAATTGAATGGGAAAGCAATGCTTTTGATAATTTCACCTATAATGGATTTTGTAGAAATGTATGTAGATTTAGAAAATTTGGAATTTTATAAATACATAATATTGAAACATTATATATATATAGATGATTTATTGATGTTTCATTTGAGGCTGTTTTGTTTGTCAAAAAACTCTTTGTGCTGGAAATTAGCTTTAGTATTCCCAGAAACCATTTGCATAGTTTTACAGCTAAATAGATATCTTTGGGAAGAAAACGCCCGATGAACAGGTGCCGGTTTTGCCGACCTGCAGGTTTTCAACTGGCTTGAAATATAGATACAGAGGTGTTGATGCAACAGGGTTGTGTACTGCTTGTGCAATAATGGGTCTGGGTGGGGCATGGTCAGTGAATAAATGTCACTGGCGTTTTACCACATGTGCCATAGCTGTCTCTCTCCAAGCATCCAGTTCTTACACTGCTCACTCAACTTGAAAACAGTACATGCTTATACAGGGTAGAAACACAGAAGTGACTTGTTACAATTTTTATTTTTCTCCGAGTGAAGAACAAATTGGAGATATTTGTTCAAAAGTCCACTAGTCCGAGTTGCAGGACTGTAATATTACACTTTTGGGCTGGTTGGAGTTTTTTGGCACTAGCCTGCTGCTTGCTTTGATCTGACTATATTTTGTACACCATTGCTCATTCTAAAGCCAGTTGTAAGTCTGTAAGCCATCAGATTTTTTATGCCTTTTGACACATATATGTCATTTCTGTAACTGCATACTTCTTGAATAACCGAGAGTCAATAACAAACATCTTGTTCTCTCCATCATACCAGATGTACTTGTTTCCTAGTTTCTGTCAGTTTTGAGATAGGCTTGTGTAGTATGTGTCAATGGGTGTTAGAACTGTGGCTAATTGGTCCTGTTTGATCTGATCCGTAATCATTAAACTACTGGCCTACATTAAACATTGAGTATGAATATGACCTTTGTGCCCTTTCTGCCAAAGTGACCTTTCAGGTATTGGCAGTGATATTTTGATGTATACATGTATGACACTTCTAAAAAAAAATGTCTTGCATGAATATATATAATATGAATAATATATAATTGTATATATGTTTTAAACTTCATACAGCTGCATTCAAAATTGAAATGTTTCAATTGAAATGGGATCAATTTGTTACAAATGAAACGTTGACAAAAATTAAGGTTTTTTGTATGTTTTTCAAATCACTATTTTTGTAAGTTGTACACAACAATGATATTGATAATGACTTGCAAATATGATGAGGCGATATTTAGGCGATCATGCTGGGAGCATGGTAACACTAAGGTTTTGGAACTATCCACACAACGCAACACTTGAATGCTCAGTGTGCTGGTAAACTTGGATAGGATTAGATCCTGTACAATGTTACAATCCTTAAAGTTTGTTTATTGTGTAAAACTTTCCACAACATTGATAATCAATTCAATATCTTTTAATCTAGCTTGGTTCAAATCAAGTTTTTAGGACCACAGGAGTTATTTGTTGAATGTACTTAAAGGGATGTAGTTTTATACAAGATCTCGTTCTTCTTTGGTTATCAATCAAACAAGTGCTACTTACAAGTATAAGCCTCATGAAATATGGTTGGTTTGTTGAACTACCATACCTTTGATGTAATATTGTGTAATATGGCAAGGAAAATTTGTTAGAACTTGAATGGTTGATACAGTGCTCGGCCTCTTGTGAGTAGCCAATCAAATACTGCGCCAGGATTTTGAATTTTCTTTTTGCAAATGTCAAGTATTAAATAAATTTAAATTACCATGGAGATGTTAATTTCACTATGTTGTCATTTTTCTTTAAGGAGATTTATTAAGTATTCTTGAAAAGTAATAAATTTTTCACTTTTTTTTTATTATTTCAATTAAATGAAAGACATGTTTAACATTGGCTACTCCAAGATTGGCATCCCATCAGGGAATTGTTGGTAGAATCTATGCAGTGATAGTTGATTATGTATGTACCAGTATAAAGTCACGAAACAATATCAGAGTTTTTTGATGGTCTTTATTATTGAATGGATGTGCATTAAACAGCTGTTGCAATAATTAACAGCACTTTTCCATTTTAAATAGTTTGCTACAAAAATGACAATGATTATTTTTAGAGAAAAAGAGAAATATTTCCTTATGTATTCTCAAATCAACTACAAGTTTAAATTTTATGTCAGGCAATACTGCCTTTAACCTTGCCACTACAAAGCTCTGGAGTGACTCTGATGTGATCATGTGTCATAATAACAATCTACATTAGTTGTGTCCAAGTGAAACATTTGAACTGAGAATCATACATTTCTATGTTTACAGAGTGAGCACAATATGTGGAGTCATGAACGTATACCATTGTGAACTTTGTACAGTTGCTATACTTTAATAAACATTTTTATAAATGATTTATAGACTTATTCCTGGTGTTGATTTGAGTGAACTTCCTACTGTTGGTGATCTGCTCTCAGAAATTTAGAATAATTTCTTATTGAGAAAGTTGGGGAGGGGGGGGGGTTAATATCAATGAACCACACAATTCAATATAGTAGTGGCTTCATTAAATGTTTAATATAAATATGAGGATAAATCCAATTTGATCGGTTCCCTCTTTGTCTCTGAGGTTCTATATTTTATTTTTTCAGGCTGTAAAATTCCTCCCTACATAAAACCGTTCAGTTGTAACAACCTTAAATTCAGCATATATGAAACATCATTTACGATGGTGCTATTATTGATAATCAGAAACTGATGGAAACAACAACTCTCTTTAAACACTGCTTTTACTAGAGTCGGGGTTATGCAGTATTCACCTTGTACATCTGTTAGTGCATGCCGGCTAAGCTGCAGGAAAAATATCAATTTGCCTTGACAGGGAAATAAAAAAAAAACATCAAAAGCATAACACAGGTTTAAAGATTATATCTCGCTGTATTATGTATGTACATTCACTATGAGGAAAATTACTACAACATGAGAAATTATTTGTCAAGTCCTTAAATGAGGTCACTGCAACTTCCACTTGACCATTGGCCTTAAACACTCCAAAACTAAAAAAAGCAAGATGGAAGTTTCAATCAATGTTGCACACATCTGAATAAGGTACATGAGGGTGCAGGGCGGGTTCACAGTGACCTCTGCTTGACATCAACACTAAAATATTAGCATAATACAGGTATTCAGAGCCTCTTTTGACTTGTTTCATCTATGGATTTTGTGTGAAGGTACAATGTTGAAAGGCAAAGATGATATAGAAACAATGTATAAGGGGGTGCAGGGTTATCCATAAAGCAAATGCTCCAAGTTTCAATCTTGTTCTACCAAAATCTATGCATGTGTAAAAAAAACATTCATGCCAATTTGATAACAAAATATATCTGCCAACTCTCTGGAACACTCTTGTTGTCTAACACATTTTATATGAAGTTGGCTGGATTGATTTGATGCGAGATGTGAATGTAAAGATGAAAAGCACTGAATATCAGGTGAGCATTGCAGACCCATGAAGTCTCTTATTTCATTTATTGCTGTTTATGGTGGGTTTTCAGAAATTCACTCAAGGAGATCTAGGATAGTTATTTCTTTGCAATTCTTTTAGCCCACCATCATCAGATGAGGGGGCCTATGTCTGTAGACTGTAGCTGTGCCAATCAAATTTTGGGATCAGAAAAACAAAATGGCGGACAGTTGGTCATCTTGGATTTTGACTTTATAAGTTTGTTATCCATATTTCTTGAGAAGTACAGAATGAATCTTTCTTAAATTTCAAATGAAGATTCCTCTTAGTCCCTAATTGTTCCCATTTGATTTTAGGTCTGATAAAAAAAAAATGGCCAACAGGCAGCAATCATGGATTTTAACTTTGGAAATTTGTCATCGCTATTTTTAGAAAAGTACCCAATGGATCTGTCCCAAAATTCATATGTAGGTATCCCTTGGTCACTAGTTGTGCCCATTTGATTTTTGGTCTGACCAGAAAAACAATCTGGTCAGTTAAATTTTTGACTTCAAAAGTAAAAACTATTTCTATTTCTTAATAAATATTGCATAGCTCTTTCTCAAATTTCATGTATTGGTTCCTCTTCCTCTTGGTCCCTAGTTGTGCCTGTTTGAGTTTGGGACTGATAAGAAAAAGAAAATGGCTGAAAGGCATTAATCATTGATTTCGCCAAGTAAAGTTTGTTGTCCCTATTTCCTAAAAAGTACTGAATGGATCTCTCTCAAATTTCATTTGCATGTTCTCTTTTTGTCTCCTCTTGAGCCGGTTTGATTTTGGAACTGATCGGAAAAAAACAAAATGGCTTCCAGGCAACCATCTTAGTTTTGGCAGGTAAAGATTATCATCGCTACTTCTGCAAAGGAATGTTCAAATTTCTTATCAATAATAGCAAAAGAAGGGAAAGGATCCAAGTTTTAAAGAGCAAGTAAAGATCAAACAATGGTGGGTTCCAAGATCCCCTTTGCTATCTCTTGTTGAAGGGTAGTTTCCGAAGCAGATTAATCAGCTGTCATACTTAATACATACTAAATCATACAGTAAATAGATATACAAGTTTAAGAATGATGGCCCCTGACAAACTGGGTTTACAACCTCTGCATTTGTACTGAATATAGTTGAAGAGGATATAAAGCCCTGTGGTGGAAATGTATATATACCCAGTGTAAATATGTAAACATACTACCTTTTTCAGCTACTTTTATCTTTGTAATGATGAATTCATGTGCAAGGTTATGGGCCCAGCTAAAACAATTTACATACAAAAATCTTTATTCTTGTTATATCTTAGGTCCATCAACATATATCATAATAATGACATAAAATCTTGTAATAATGAGAAAACTGGTAATATATATCCTAAAAATCATTTATATCTTACATCACAAAATTAACTCAGCTAGGTTGCTATAATGACTTCGCTAAAATAAAAAAAACAAATTTACATTTTCTAATTGCAAATTATGTCATAAGGTAAATTTAGCTGGGCTATATCATAAAATCAAGTTATGCCACAATAACAAAAGACTTTTCAAAACACGATTTTAGGCTCTGTTGTAATATTAACCTTAATTGACTCAATTTACAGTCCCCCAATGAGGTCCAGAGGGAGCTATAACTTTGCTTTGTGTCTGTCTGTCCACTGTCTTTGTGGCCCTATCTTCTACACAACTAATCAGGAGAACTTAATATTTGGAATATGAGTTTAAATTAAAAACGGTGTCCCTTATCAAAAGTAGGTCACTCTGGCCTAAATTTTGATCTTTGACCTAAACTTTCACTCTTCTAATCATTGGAATTTAGTAACTGCAATATGAGTTCACCTTGGTGATAGTGTGTGTTGTGTATCATGGGTAGGTGTGTGTTGTGTGACCTTCCAAAAACATCAAAGAAAAGGTATTTTCCAGGCTCTATTTACTTCACTATTTGTCACTGAAACTTCATACTTGAGGAATGTATTTACTTTTGTGAACTATGGCCTACATTTTGACCTTTGACCTACAGGAAAGAAAAAGTTTTTCCAGGTTCTACTTTATATTAAACTTCATACTTGGGGTATCAGGTTTACATTGGTGAAGTGGTGTGATTGCGGGCGATTGTAATTAACCGAAGGTACTAGTTTTATTTTGTTTAATCATAAAAAGTAATTTAAGTGTCATAAACAAAAAATCAACTTATCTATGTGTTATAATTGATATAAAAACACATTTATTTATAGCAACTTTGAATTTTCTTTATAATGTTTTAACTGAATGAAAAACAAATGTAATTTGTGTATATATCCTAATAACGTTTCAGTTATGTCATCAATACAACAGTTTGTGGTATGTTTCACTACTTTTTTAAAAAGCGCAAACAGAAGCTATTTCATAATTATGAGGTACTAAATCATGATAAGTCATTATGAAGACAAAGCAAAGTCATAGTTATGATGATATAATCTATCTTAATGATGATAATGATGATGATATGATGATGATGATGATGAATGTCCTTTGTCATGATTTGAGCCCCTCGTTTACTCTTCAGTTTATTTTAATTACAAGGTCAATATTTTAACAAAATACAATGCATCCGCTAATTTTCATTCGATCAACTAAAAAATGTATTTCTTTTTTGGTTAGGGACCTATGACTTCAGAGTCTGCCACTTCAACTTTACAGACTAAGTACAGAAGTACCTGCAATCTGATGTAAAGTCCAAAGAAATCCGAATGACTGATTCACGAAAGGTCAAGGTTGACTATGTCATGTATGAGATGAAAAATGGCGGAGTTACAATTCGAAGCTCCGCTTGCGAAATTTGAAAACGAAGACTGGAACGAGTATAATGAATTTCAAGGTGTAACAGACATTCAAAACTCAAACAAAGACTTCGAAAAAAGAAAAGGATTAGACGTAACCGATAACGGCGGTTCAGACAATTTTGTAGACACATTTTCGGGATCGCTGGAGGATTTGGTTCATACATTTGATGAGAAAATCACAAAGTGTTTTCGAAATTTCGAGGAGAATGTTGATACAATTGCGCCAGTACAAATACGAACTCAGGAAGAAATAATGAGTGATTGTCAGTAAGTAACACGGTGTGCTATTATTGTAGAAATGTGAATGTGATTTTGATGAGATCATCACTTCCCGGGTACGTCTCAGCCTCTGCAGTCTTCGTAGACACAGGGCGTTTTTATAGATCGACGTACTAATTGTGTATGCTATTTGATTCTAACGTTATTTTACATGCATAGGTGTTTTGATTTTACAGTTGCTTTTGTCGTATGTCACAAATAAACATCGTTATAGTATATGAGCTTTTTGCGTAGGTGAATGTGACGCAGACCGGCATGCATATGGTGCATACATGTATATTTCCGAACACAAGGTAAACTGTGTGTCATAAATGACTAATAATGTCCCATCGCAATCTGTCAATAACATTAAAACGACAAACAAGAAACTAATTGTACTTATTTTTAAATGAAACCTTTATGGCATCCTTAAGCATTTCTTTCTTTTCAATTACATTTTAGAATATTAAAAGAAAACTAAATTAATTATCCCTGTCACGGTCGTCTTGTCATAGTATCTTATTAATAAATTAAAAGTTATTTACATCAACAGTTTTTTTCTACCGTTATCACTTGAAATTCACATTACAATCTTCGCCAATAATCTTTCTTACATTTCTGATTTTCTCTTCAAATTGTTACATCTGGATTCCCAAATTTCCTTATATATTACATCCCAATTGAACTTCAGATAAGCAATAAATTGCACCACTATTTTTATTATCCAAGAAGGCCAATTGAGCAAAGGCCTGTCTTTAGTCGTCTTTCTTCAGTTTCAAAATGTTTTCACATTTGTGACCTTAAAAACCACTGCAATTATTTCAATAACTTTTTTTCCAGAAAAAGTCCATGGTCAATGACGAATTGAAAATGTAAATTGTATGATTATAACTCCCAAGGGCCTAAAATGAGAAAAAGGTTTAATGATATCACTTTTCCAGACCAAGATACTGTAGAATTAAAACTCTCAATGGATGGAAATGTGTCAAGGTGCTTTGTTGAAATTTTCAATTTCATGACCCCTGAAGCCCAATTTTCTTCAAGGGAGGGGTTAAATGTTTTTTAGATTTACATTGTTTTAGTGCCAGAACAGGTAACCAGGTATCTGTTTCATGGTTTGATTTATATCTCGAGTCGGAGTTACACAGTTGACATTTAAACTACATGTATCAGATAACTCCTGTCAGTGTCCTGTATGGCAAAATGCTCCAGTCCCTGTTCGAATCTCTGTTTACATGCCTCATTTTTATGACTTCAAGTGTATTTTCATAATCTGAATGAGTTCACCTCAAAAATTAGGCCAATGCACTGATGCTTGTTTTACACATTGGTACTGTAGGTAGTCCAAGCATATGAGTAAGTGATATTTACCATAGAATGCACTTTAAAGCTTTATCAGGATATACTTTACACTTGATTACATGTTTCCAATAGTTTTGAAGTTATTTTTCATGGAAGTAGATGGTAAACTGGATTGAAATTTATTTCTAGCCATATGTGTTTTAGTGTATTGTATATTGCGTTGTATTATTGGAATACTTTTAATTATATAGCGGGTTTTATATCCACTAAAACGGCCGTTTGGTCTTTCAGTGGATGAAGCATCGTATGATCAAACAGCATGTGAACCAGTACAGTATAGTACAATATTTTTTATATCATACAGCAGAATAAGGGTTTACACCAAAGATCTGTTATTTTGTTACAGTTCAGATAGTTTGAGTTGGTTATCCAGTTGGAAAATTTACTTTTCATTCCAGTTCTAGTTCATACAGGTGAAAACATGTAGATTTTCTTATATTAAAGTTCTTATTTTTGAGACGGAGATGCTGTAGAATCAAAAACTTACCATGAATAAAAAGGATTCCAAGGTGCTCTATCAAAATTGTAAATTTCCTATCTCCTGGGTGCCATGTTTTATTTAAGGGAGAGGATAAGTTTTACTGTAATTTATTGATAGGAAAATAATACTTTTAGGGACATTTTCAATAGTGTTAGTGAGAAGTGATTTTTGTTCCAAAGTTTGTTAGAGTTATTACCATCAGATAGCAGTTTGGTAATATAGAAAATAATTGTATTGACCCCGCCTTTTGGGCCTGGAGGACAGGTCACAAATATTAATTTGCCATTTATTTTCTCAAATTTTCCCCTATTTCAAATTTGAAAAATTGACAGGATAAGATCATTGACATACTAGTATGATCATGCTGAAGTAGACCAGTTTTAACCTTAATATTGTTAAAAGGACTTCTTTACTTAAATGAGTTAAATGATAGTGGCCTTCATATCTCACCATCTTACTGTGCTAGTAGTTTGGAATCCCATGATTAACCTTTATGAAATATGGTCGGACTAAGGATTTAGATGTTGTCCATAAGGAAGTCCACAAGATTTTGTGTTTATGTTGATCAATGATGGTAATCTTCATTGGAATAAAACTAAAATGACACGGACAACAAAATTGTTGCAGACTTGTACATGTTTTCATGTTATACATTAAATAACTGCAGGAAAGTCAATAGAAAACCCACGTTTTGGAAGTCTGCAGTCATACAAATACACACAATAGAGATAACGTAACTTTTATATCTGGTATATAAATTACCTCAATGTAGGCATTGACTCTCAGGCTTGCAACACTTCACATGACAAAACGGTGAATTTTAGGGGAAATAAATGGGGTTTAAATCTCTATGCAGAATCTTTAGATACATCATCTGCAGACTTGGAATTTAAAAAATACAAGTTGTCAGTACATGTAATTTAATGTATTGCTGCTATTTTCTATCACAATTAATCATCATTATCTCAGAACCATTGATCTTCTTAAGATTTTTTTATATTGTTTTCCTTGAGGAACTGCCAGATGGTTGGTCAACAATAGCAAACAATTCATTGTTATGACGACATCATTGGCCCAGGGTTTGTAGACTTTGAACTTGGCTTTGCAAAGAAAGCACTGTATTATATTGATATTCACTATCCATCTCATGTATTATCAAGTAGATGATAATTTGTTTACAATTGGGTTAGTTGACTTCCCCATTCCCAACGCAGTGATGTAGACATTTTTATTCTTAAAAGTTATTTTTAATTTGAAAATTATCAGCAGCAAATTTATAAACTGACTGTTGCAGAAGCTGAAAGATGACATTCAAGTGAATAAAATTTTTATGGTGAAAGTGAAATTAAATTTAGTTCAGTCAAACAAGCACATTTCCTGCCCTTTCATAAACAACCAGTCCACACCCACTCCTTTGCATTGTTGTGGCAAATTGTTGTCAATAATCAGAGGTAGAACTGGCTCATTAGTTTCATAAAAGGTTAAAACTAAAAAGTGCCAGTTTTTGTCCATTTGATTAACATGGATGTGATCCAATGGCTCCATTGATTCTCTAGTCTGTGTTTCATGATTTTGTGAGATTTCATCGACTATGTGTTGTCTTCATGGATGGATACATGATTCCTCACTAATTCTTGTTATGTATCTGTTGAATAACAGCTGGAGCATGTTGTTATTACTTGGCAGTCTTGTTATGCTTTTCTAAAGTCAGCATAAAAAAACGTTATTTATTGAAATCTATGATATGCTTTGAATTTTGGTAATATTAAAGGCATTTATTGTTGTTATAAATGCCAGACATATGCAGGCAAACATTATGTTGCATGCTATTGTACTAGTGTATATGGCATGTTTGCCTGCAAAAATGTCATCTTAAATTACCAAAAACACCATAACAAGACAGTTAAGTGCTTGAATGTAATTCCCTACAAATTTTGCTGTCATTTGTTTTTAACAAGTTGATTTAAACTACCGGTAAGATACAATATTCATTATCGACAATGTAACATGTCGAGAATAGCAGCCATTTTTAGGACAAGCCATTACTGTTTCCATTCCCTCTATATTGATGTATTAATGGTCACATGGTGTATTACATTTATCCTACCATGGATCATAATTCTTCATGGTTAGTTGTTATCAAGGGTTTCCTTGCAAATGCAAATATAGTTTATATACCCATTTCAAACTTTTGGCATAAAAGAAATGAGAAAGTAATATACACATCATAAACTAATGGTATAAAAGAAATTGCTTATTTTGGCTGCAGTGAAGAACATCAAATGAAAGTAGATTTATATAATCATCAAAATGATCATTTTAACCAGTCAGAAAGCTTGAATCATGTTTTTTACTTTTCTAAGTTTCTGAATCAAATATTTCATTTACTGTTGAACATGTTGGGTCTTCAGGTTATATGATGACAGTAATATCAGGAACAACTATGGTTTGCTTGATGAAAATCAATTCCACAATCCGGCTCAGACTCTACATCATCATAGACATTGTCAGAAAGATACAATTTTCGTCTGACATGCCTGAGAGTTCAGCGGTGTTTATATACTGCACCACTGTATACACTATTCACTTTAATATTCATATACAGTGTACACAAAATAAGAAGACATTCTTTAAAGATGAAATGAGTTCCAAGTAGATGTAATTTACATTTGATCATTAGGTTCAAAAGATATTTGTGATGTGGTTTATTAAGCTGAACTCTGTGTGGAACTTTTGTTTTAGGTTTGGCACACTACCAAAGTGTGATCTATCTGTATATAGCTGACGATCTGTATAGAAAGGATCTAGTAATGGTAATGATAGGGATTTCTCATCTCTGTAAGCCAATAATTGTTGGAGGAATGTAACAGTCACCGAAGTGATGGTGACTGAAAACATTTGTTTGCCAAATATTTGGGCCTCAAAAAAATCAAGAACTCTTCTTTGATTATATATCATATGACCTGATTAAGTCTCAAACTTTTTAGGTAAATTAAAGTTGATTTATGAAAGTGTTTAAAGTGAATGAACAGACTTCAGACAGTGATTTTTGGGACTTGTATATTAGAATCCTTTGCCTGTGCTTTTTCTATGGGTTTTTGTGAGATCCCACTATAGTATTGGTTCTTACCAAAATTATGGAATTGTTGTTCTGGACTCACCTGGA